TTCAATTTTCGGTATACATTTTTGAAAATCAAACGGGTTCGCGCGAAAAAATCAGTATTTTTCAAAAACCTTCGTGGGCTGGATAAAATCTCCTGCCGGGCCGGATCTGGCCCGCGAGCCGTAGTTTGGACACCTCTGATCTAGGCCAATATTGGGTGATGATAAATTTTGAAGAGTGGTGCAAACATTTTCATTTAGAATTTATATATAAACAGCAGTTTAATACTGCTTTATTCATAATCTCATACTTAATAGGCTTAGTCATTTTTGGTCTTCAATTTTTTGTATGATAAAGAACTCAAACACAAATTAGGACAAAGCATTTTATTCCAAAACAAAAAATAACAATATCCTTTATAAAATTATTAGTGCTTAATACTCTATAATTATTTTGCATAAATCTAAGAAAATATCTTATCTTTGTGAATTATGAATAAAATGCTAAATAGAAAGAAAATGACTGTTTGTTTTAATTTGTTGCATCATTCATTTTGTATTATTTAGATAAACATTATGACTGTTAATATTGTTTGAAGTTAATAAAATTCAAAGTAATGTGTATTTTTTTTTACATTTGACATCAGAAATCCCTATTTTAGATTGTTATGCAGAATTAATTTCTAAATAGAGGTATAGGTAAGGGAAAATAATTGGTAAGAATCATGTGATAGCTTTTCCATCAATGTATGAATAAAACTGTAGCCTTCTAAAACTTCAAGGGTTTTAAGGGTTTGGTCTTTGCTACTGAAAATTATAGATGTGATTTTATAATTTTCAGTAGCAAAGACCAAATTTGTGTTTGAGTTCTTTATCATACAAAAAATTGAAGACCAAAAATGACTAAGCCTATTAAGTATGAGATTATGAATAAAGCAGTATTAAACTGCTGTTTATATATAAATTCTAAATGAAAATGTTTGCACCACTCTTCAAAATTTATCATCACCCAATATTGGCCTAGATCAGAGGTGTCCAAACTACGGCTCGCGGGCCAGATCCGGCCCGGCAGGAGATTTTATCCAGCCCACGAAGGTTTTTGAAAAATACTGATTTTTTCGCGCGAACCCGTTTGATTTTCAAAAATGTATACCGAAAATTGAAAAAAATGAAAAATTTTATTTGATAAAAAATATTTTTTTAATTTTTAAAAATAATAAAATTGAAAAATATATACATAAAATTTTACTTAAATTTACAGTCGTAAAAATATTGTTTTGGGCTATTGTTCGATAACTACCGAATTGGTACGAAAGCAGGCGAATAGCGAAAGTACTTTTTTATTTTTTATTTTAATTTATTTTTTTAGCTCTTTCCGCCCTGTGGCTAAGAGGGCCTCTTTTTGCAAGCCCATTATGGGTTGGGCCAGGTCCACGATGGGGCTGCCGGGTGGTGAGGAGCGGGCCCGACATATCCGAACGGACCACCCCCCGAAAAATTCCTGGGGATTTTTCAACGTGTCCGGATTCGAGCCCGGGTCCCCCAGAGCGGTAGGTTGCCACCTTGACCGCTCGGTCATCCAACCGCGCTAGCGAAGGTACTGTACACGAATACACATTTTATGGGACGTTTTTGTATTAGTGAGTAGCGGGAGAAAAAGAATCGAGAGCATTGTATGTGGCATCTCTGTAGTTGACCTCGGGATTGCCTTCTGTTCTGTTGCGCATGACTCATTTGCAAATTGGTATGTGTAAATTCATATTTCATGTATTACAAACTAATTATTTTGAAGTTTAATATTATTTTTTAAGGTTTAAAACAAGAATTTCAAAAATGATTTTTGATATTGACATGAATTGAAAGGAAATTCGGCTGTTTGAAAATCCATTTAACTGCTGCGTTGCCGACGTTTCAAGTCAGTTTGAAATGGAAATTATTGATCTTCAAGCTAACGATCAAATCAAAGAGGAGACTTGGTCGATTTTTACAAATTTTTGAATGCAAAAGAGTTCTAAATTTAAAACAATTTGTTTGTAAATTTATTTCTGTTTCAGACTACCTATATGTGCGAACAAACCTTTTCCAGGATAAAGTATCTGAAATCAAAGTACAGGACAAATTTATCGGATGATCATTTGCAATCATTGCTTATAATTGGTGTTTCAGATTTTAATCCCAACTTTAAAGATAAAGAAATTCTTCAGCAAAAAACACCTTCCATCATTTCCATTAAAAGTTGCAAGAAATAATTTTCTAATTATGTATAATTTAGCCATGTTTGTTTAGTATTGGTGTATCTGTAATTAACTGTAAAAAATAAAATTCAATGCTGCTTTTAATTCACAGATTCACGTGGCCCACCGCAAATGTATTTAAATCCCAATCTGGCCCTTCGGCAAAAAGTTTGGACACCCCTGGCCTACATAAATTTACCATACCACAAATAATAATTAGAATTTTGTCAATATGTGACAGTAAAGTTCAGTCTAATGTTTGTTTTAAAACAGCAAATACTGTAGTTTTATTCTCTGAATTGTGTATTCAACATGTACTTTGGCCTTGCTATTTCTGCAGTTTCCAATGCATCATACTTGCTTAACTGATTTTGCTTTCTTACAAATGGTGAATGTACTAAACCAATAGTTCTAGCAGAACAAGCATCTATATGAAAACCTTTATCTGCCATTACTTGATCTGCATAAGGATCAAGTAAATCAACAAATTTGATTCTTCAAATATGGCTTTGTCAGATGCCCTACCTCCATATGCTTTATTTAAATAGGTGATTAGACCAGATGGGGCAATTCCAACTAATACTTTAATAATCTGCTTACCATAGTAATGGGAGTAAGTTAATATTTTGAAAGTAATACACTTTGGTTTTTCATAAAAACTTCAGTTCAAAACCACATGAATTTTTTTTTTTTTTTTTTTTTTTTTTTTTTTTTTTTAAGAACAGGTAAGTTTTCCATTATCTCTTCTTTGGAAGGCCACACAATTGCAGCAACTAATACTTGGCTTAGATAAGAAATGGTAATGAAAAATATTTTATGTTATCATAGAAATTTGAAATAAAACTGAAACTCAAGCAAAAGACAAGACCAGTTTTAGCTTCATCACAGCAAGAACAATTTTGACTTTATTACACAATTTTGTATTATGCCAACAAGCAGTAGAGAGTTAGTGAGCAGTTAGTGAGTTGCAGCCCAACAATATATTGGGCTGCAAAAAGATGTATTTATGCTCTTCCGCATAAATACATATTTAATACTAATTTCCTATTTATTAGGCAGGTTCCGTATTTACTGACAAACAGTTGTCAATTATCCTAACCAATTTAGTTACTTTCTTGATGTTTTCATTTTTATTATACAGGTAACCCTCGTATAACACGGCACTTCTATAGCACAGATTCACTCTAACACGGTTCGAGAATTGGGTAAAACCATCGTACAACATGAAATGTAATAAATTTTCACATAGTTAAGTACTAATAGTTCACGAAAATTATTATTTTCGTGAACTATTAGTACTTAAGTATGTAAATTTTCTTTTCCGCCTTCTGTGGATACACGTAATCCTTCTCGAAACTTGTTTCAGTGTAGCCAGATCTCGACGCTTCTGATTTTGTTTACCAGATGTTTTCCCTTATTCCATGCTTGCTTTACTCTTCATAAGTGCTTACCACCATATAAGGAAATTTATAAAGATCTTTTAACTAGAAGCAAGCAATCTAAAATTACATACTTTTTGCAAAAGGTAAAGCATGGATCTGAAGATAATGCAGAAAAATGTTCAGAGGATAAGGATATCTTGCCAAAAAGAAAACACTCTCGGTTAATACTGCATAGTGATGATGAAGAAAACATTGTTTAATTTATATTAATATGTATCGCTTAAGAAAATTTTGATAAAGATATTTATCTTAATTATGAAAATATAATAGCATGTTTTTTAACTTTTGGAACCTAACCCCCCCTTTTCGTACTAGTTCTTTATTTCGTATAACACGGCAATTTTTTGGAACATAACTCCTGTGTTATACGGGGTTACCTGTATTTTAATATAGTCAAGCCTCAATGTAACACCCTCTTGTAAGGTGGCCCCTACAGATATTAAATACAGAATCTTTTGCTATCCGTAAATTATTAAATGTGCAATTTAGCACTGTAAATGACATCACTACCACCAAATTGCNTTCGTATAACACGGCAAGTTTTTGGAACATAACTCCCGTGTTATACGGGGGTTACCTGTATTTTCATATAGTCAAGCCTCAATGTAACACCCTCTTGTAAGGTGGCCCCTACAGATATTAAATACAGAATCTTTTGCTATCCGTAAATTATTAAATATGCAATTTAGCACTGTAAATGACATCACTACCACCAAATTGCTTGACTTTCAAACTCATGTTTAGATCTCATTATTATATGTAATTCTTATTCTGATCATCGTTTCGCGNTGCAATTTAGCACTGTAAATGACATCACTACCACCAAATTGCTTGACTTTCAAACTCATGTTTAGATCTCATTATTATATGTAATTCTTATTCTGATCATCGTTTCGCGGGGTCCCACATCTTACTTTTATCGCTCCATAAATTAAAATTGCATCCAAACGAATGATTTTCATTTCAAACGTCAAGCAGAATAAAAAAAAAAGTCCAAATTTATGCGAATTCAACCTTTTTGTATCGATTACACTAACAGCATATTGAAAGCATTCGGTGGGTAGCTGTCGTCCCACATAATCGTAGGTCATAGCTGCCACGGGTTTGAAACTACAAGCTTTTGAAATTTCAGAAGTTTGTAGTTTAAAAACCGAGGAAGGCTTACAAAATAAACCGTGAACGTTTGTAAATTAAACGGTTTTCGTAAGAACTATAAATTCATACCAGATTTTTAATCAAGTTTAGGTGACTATTGCTATGTATCGCAGCGCCATCTATGGCAATTCAAATGTATATATTCAGTAGCGCGCCTGCGCACTGCAGTCAGTTCTGCACCGTTATGTATTGAATAAAGACGTGTTGATTTAGCTGTTCATGAGAATCCGTTTCAATCCTTTTCGTAATCTAATTCCGACGTTAATACACACCAATTCTGGCGATGAGGTGGATCACAGATAATATATTTCTACAATTTTATTCAAGAATACTGAAGTTTATTTATTTTTTTCTCGACCAATTCTACGAAGTCAACACGTGGCTATCTTCAGCTAGACTTTGAACCTTCGACCCGTAAGTTACCAAATTGCTTATTATCATTGTTTTCTTTCCTTATTCGAAAATGGCAAATGCGATTAACGTTAACCCATACAACGTAAATAGTGATTGGGATGAATACGTTGAACAATTGGAAGAATTCTTTATAGCATCCGATAGCGCCGACGACAGAAAAATGGTGGCTACTCTTCTTAGTCAAATGGGTCCGGTGGCTTACAAATTATTAAGGAACCTTTGTCTCCCAGATAAACCTTCTTCGAAAGCTGTTATCAAAATACACGAAATACATAAAAAAACAAATATAAATTTTAAATGCATAAATAAAATGTTAGATCAATCTCAATAGGATAGAAAAAATAAGCAACAACACACAACACCTGGATGTAGTAAAAAACACACCCTATGAACAGATGACCAGCATGTGACAAAAAAGCAAAAAAATAAATAAATTCAACATGTAAAGAAATTCATGGAAAAACAAAAAAAAACTGAAATTTTATATTACATTAAAATAACAACTTGCTATACACTCCAATAGTATTAATATAATCCATAAAAATTAACTACACTATCAAAAATCTAATTAAATTTACCTGAATAATCAGTTCTTCAACTTGTCCTCCATTAATCTTTTGTTCAAGCTTTTCAACATCCTTTTCCTATTAATTAAACATAACAACATTATCACCTATTTTCAAAAATAAATTTCTAATACATATAAACTAAATTTTATTTAAAAAACAGATCTGATTAATTTTATGAATTAATATTTTAAGTAGTTTACTTCTACATTACATTTATATATATATATATATATATATAATAATAATCTATGCCAGTTTATTATTTACATTTATTACTAATAATTTAAAAATTATACATTCAAAGAATGATTTTACAATAATTTAATAATTAAAGATGGCAAAAGCTAAGGTTATAAATGTTAGACCTCCATGTTTAGCAACTCCTCAACAATAGTGCTCGCGAGAAGAGGTGAGATCTCATCCCCATGTTTTAAAATGAAAATCCCTGTTTTTTATAGTTATGTTTTCTCTCTCTCTCTGTACAGTCTGTAAAGTTTGCAACTGCCTTGTGATCTGTGTAAATAACTTCAATAAAGTTTTTTCTGAAGACATTGCTGGTATGTATAATTTGTCATCCTATCCTGCACTGTGAATGAATGAATTACCATTAACACATCAAAACCAGAGTTAATGGTAAAACCCTAACAATAAATTTTAAAATTTTTGACTTTAGCTTTAACCTAATAAAGATTCCTTTTCTTTCAAAATCTTAAAACTGCTACTGATATAACTAAATATCTACACTGCTGGCAAAGTAAAATGCAACACCATGATGACTATTGATATTGAAACAATGGAAGCTTCCTTCATGGTGTTGCATTTGATTGGCCAACAGTGTATATTAATTATTTATCAAATTACAGTAGAATCTCAATTATCCAAAACTGTTTTAAAAATATATAAATAAAAAACTAGAATGCATAACATTGTACAGTATATACCAGAGAGTATAATACATAGATATTAAACTCTGTACATAATTGGAAATTATTGTCATCTGTCAATTGTAATGCTGTGAAACTAAGTCATAACTACATGGCATTACATTAGATTTTGAATAAATTAATTTACTCAAATATTTATAGCTCATGAAATTTTATATGCACAATGCTTGATATATCTAAAACATAAAAATAAATGAGTTATTGGATTATCTGAAAGACTCCTAGTCCCATAAAGTTTGGATAATCAAAATTCCACTCTATTCAATTAAAACTGAATTCAAGTCTTATGTTTTATTATAATTACATGAATTAAAAATCATAGCTGGCTATGTCATCATATGTCAGTATATTTAATGTGCAAATAATTTAAATTAACCAATTCATAAAAATCTAGAAAGTAATTTTAAGTCTGCAATTATATCTGGAACAGATCTGCGAAAGTAATTGGTAAAGTACTCAATATGAAAAAGCAAGCATTGCAAGTTAACTCTTCAGGTTATTTTCAAAATCTTCTTCTTCCTCTTCACGTGCTATGCCCGGTCCCCCAGACATCGGCAATCACCAAGAAGAGGGAGTTCCTATCTTCGGTCGTTCTCATTACCTCCCTAATGTTTTGTATGCCTGTCCATTTTTTTAATATTGTCCATCCACGATAAATGTCTTCGGCCTCATTTATGCTTTCCCTCAATCTTTCCATTGAGGATTAGTTGTGGGATTTTGTATTTTTCTCCTCTAGTGATATGTCCCAAGTATGCAATCTTTCTGCATTTGATTGTTGACAGCAATTTTCTGTTTGTTCTTGCTCTGCTTAGAATTTCGTTGTTGGTCACTCGATCCGTCCATGGGACTCTCAGCATCCTTCTGTGAATCCACATCTCAAATGCCTCCAGTCNGATATGTCCCAAGTATGCAATCTTTCTGCATTTGATTGTTGACAGCAATTTTCTGTTTGTTCTTGCTCTGCTTAGAATTTCGTTGTTGGTCACTCGATCCGTCCATGGGACTCTCAGCATCCTTCTGTGAATCCACATCTCAAATGCCTCCAGTCTTCTTTCTGTATTCCTTTTTAATGTCCAGCTTTCCACACCATAGAGGAGAACTGACCAAATATAACATTTGGCCATTCGTTGCCGCAATTTCAAATTTAAATTGTTGTTGCAGAGCAGGGTTTTCATTTTTTGGAAGGATGTTCTAGCTGTTGCTATCCTGCATTTAATTTCTTTCCCTGAATCTAGATTTTCTGTAATTATGCTTCCCAAGTATTTAAACTGTTTGACCCGTTAAATTTTTTTTTGGTCAAGAACAAGTTGTGTCTCTCTGTGTGGGGTCTGACTACCAGCATCAATTCCTGCTGAGTTAATTTTGTTTAGTAGTACCTGTAAGCCTTCTAGGCTGTCGCATATTATTAGTGTATCATCAGCATATCTAATGACGTTAAGAATTACGCCGTTGATTTTAATTTCATAATTTTAGTTTTCTAAGGCATTTTTGAAGATTTTGTCTGAGTACAGATTAAACAATAGGGGCAAAAGAATGCAGCCCTGCTGGACTCCTCTCTGTATTTCAATTTCTGCTGTTTTCACTGTTCCTAACTTGACTTCTGCTGTTTGACCCCAGTATAAATTTTGAATTACTCTGATGTCTTGTCATCTAATTGAACTTGGTGTAGGATCTCTATTAATTTGGAGTGTTTCACACTATCGAAAGCCTTTTCATAGTCTATGAAACAAGCAAATATGTCTTTTTGTTGTTCATGACATCTCTGGAGAAGGACGTTGATACTAAACGCTTCTCTTGTTTCAAAATCAAATTATTTAATTGTTAATTTATGAACAAATGAATGCATCCTTCTCTTTAGAAAAATTTCATCTATTTTAACTAGTCTTGATAAATTCAACCAAAATTATCAACTCATAATTTTCAGATTGAATTCATCTTTTAAATTTTATTGCATCAGACAAATTTAATTTTGACAATTTAATAATATATTGACAGATTATCAATATTATCTGAAATAAATGTTTTTATATTGGCATTGTTATGTACAATCAATTCTACATCTTTAAAAGAATCAATAATTAACAAACAATGATCAATTGTAACTGGAAATTCATACTAAAACTATAAAGAAATGAAACTAAAAAGCATTGAAGTACAAACTATAGAGAAATAGTGGAGTTTATAAAGTAAAAACATTACTACAACCTCTGGAAAAGAAGTTTTCAGACAGAACAGCTATGTGAAAATTATTGATTGCAGGAAGTTCTGAAGGCAAAGATCAAATGGAGGTCTGGTAGTGTAACTGGCAACGCATCCACACGGTATATAGGAGTTGCAAATTTATGTTATCCAACTTTTTGTTTAGCTGACATGTTCTTGATCTGCATAATCTTACATAATACTAGAATATATGATTTTCCTAATAGGCATGCTGAATGCTAAATTTTATTAAATTGAATGAAGTGAACAACAATTTGAAACCAGAATTTGCCTATCATATCATTGTTTTGAGTTAAGAGCATAACATATGCTCATAACTCAAAACTGATATGATCAACACCAACAAAAGGATATGCTAGTCCTTCATTGATGCTGATAAGTGCTCTTGGGAATTTTCCAAGCTCTCAAGATTGATAACACTGATTGTTGATTTCACAATGTATGAAATCTAAGTAGTTTGCATCAATGTTTATACTTTTGGATCAAACTAAAAGAAGCAACCTATCTACATGTATCATCTATAACAAACAAGACAACAATGCTTATATCGATTCTCCTGATGTATTTTGTTACATATGTGGTGACTTCATTGCAACCAAATAATTCTGAACTACAGAAGTGTAAACCATAGGCCAAAAATGGCCTATTGTACACTTCTTGTGTCCTCTACATCAGCATTTCTCAAACATTTTCGGCTGCAATTTGAAAAAAATTGTAGACCTATAAATTCCCATTGTTGCCTGTCCATCTTTCCTTAATCTTGAGAATGGAATTAGGCAGATGAAATCTGAGACCAGATATAGAAATTTAGATGCATGAAACCCTGACTGATTATACATGAACTTCTGGTTTGAACCAGAAGTCATGTTATTTGAATTCAAAAGCTTCCCCTGAAAGCAGTTAATAGATGATTGGCACAACTCTATTCTTAAAGAAAAAGTATGATGTACAGGGGCAAGATACTACTAATTTGAAGTGGAGAGCAAATATTTTAAATGAAATAAATTAAAAATATAATTAAAAATTGCAGCCTGGCATTGTGACAATCTCAAAAAATAATTGCTCATTGTTCACACAATCTAATATATTTTTTTGTAATGGTTCTGTGACACAAATGCTTATATAAAATTTTTTAAAAAACCTACTCAACTAGAGTCGCTGTGTATTATATAATGAAATAAAATTATGCATTATTGATAATAACTAACAGGTAGATGGTGTCCAACTATGCTGTGTGTTGATTTCTGCAGCAGGAAGATTCAATATCTCAAAACGCGGCACAAGATCAAAGGGACTGCACTTCTGCAGCGTTATCTATTAATTTGCTAAGTAAATGACCAATAAAATACCAGAAGACAATGCATAAATTGATAAACTATTATTAGATACAGTAAGACCCCACTTAACATTGCCTCGATTAATGCTGATGTGATATAACATGGTTTGCTCAAAGCCTTAAAAAAAAAACTCAAAATTTATGCTGATTCAATTATCACAGCATTTCATTGATTTGTATATAATATGATTATTTACGAACACGAACCAATCAGCAAAAGGTGGCAATTTGTAGCACTGTACTTCCTTTAAATCTATATTTGTTTTGTGCAATTTTGGAAAAAATATAACATCATGATGCCATAGGCAATATCGACTTTGCTTGGCAAGAATTAACTGATAAATGCATGATCAGAGTGTGGAAGAAGTTATGACTGAAGGTATCCAAGAATTATCAATGAGAAGAGCCTATCACTGTATTGTTAGGTTGATCAAATTGTCAACCTAATTGATACAGCAGGACTAGGAGATGAAGACAAGCAGGATATTGAAGATTTACTGCAGGTTTCTGGTGAGAGCCTTATCAATGACGACATTCAAGAACTGGCAGAACAAGGAATTCGTATAGAACTGGAAAATAGTGACTGAAAATGAAGAACCCAAAGAATTTCTCTATAGATTTCCTTAGTAAAAGTTTGGTAATGATAACCAAATTGTTGATCAAATTGTAGCAAATGATCCAGATTTTGAAAGGAGTGCAAAAGCAAAACGAGGTGTTTTGGATGCAATCTTCTGCTACCAACATTTGCTTAAGGAAAGAAAAAAAAAGTGACAAATGAAACTACATGACTTTATCACAAAAAACAAGAATTTCAGAAAAGCCAGGACCTTCATCACAAAAAATGAACTTTACATTTCTGTGTGCATATGTTTGTGTGTTATTTAACATATATTATTATGCAAATTAATATAAAAATAACTTAAAATTTAAGTAAAATCTGTTTATTTTTGGGTCGCATGTTCCCTTTTCCCTATTTACTCTGTGTTAAAATGACATTGTTAACATTGTTTCGTTTAGCACTTTGTCATCTAGGAACACATCCCCTGCGTTAAGCGGGGTCTTACTGTGCTATTATTTGTAAATTCTTCACTGTATTTCATTCCATTTACAGAGATTGTCCCACTCGGGACCCTTTACAACTGAGAATAACTCTGCATCATGTGCATGTAACAACATGAAATAGGACTCAAAACGTACTCTTTCATGCAAAATTGACTGCATGCTATAAAAAAGAGCAGGGATAGCCCAGTCTTACATCATCAGTCCAATCTTCTTTGAAGACACTATGAATATGAACTGATATTTAACCATTTTAAATGGACAAATATCAGTTCATATTGAATCCATTTCTTTGTATTATAAGAAAACAAAACTGCTTCTGTCAATATAAATATATTTTTAAAATTGACTGTCTTATATAGATATATTATTAATAGACAAAAAAGTTTATCTCAAAGCTTTAGAAGTATGTAGTTTATAATACATAAATATGAACTCTGCTTATTAAATAAAACTCAACAAAAAAAGTTTTTTAAGAGATTACTCTAATTTTTTTATAAGATTTATACTCATTATCATTTTAAAAATAATAAAATAAATTTTCATTATACAAAATTTACTAATCATAATAAAATTCTTTTAAAAATGTAAAACTGAAAAACCACACATACATTCAGCAGATAAGAAAATTAAAAGTAAAGGGTTTCCCATTAACAATGCAAAATGTAAACTGTGTACCTTTGGCCTTGTGTGTGGTTGGCAACCTTGAGGATTTGTGTGCAGTCTCTATTACAGTTGTCATTACAGTGCAGATTTAACATATTATTGATGGAATTAGGTCAGAATTATGCAGCAGTGTCATAAGCAATTTTGTGAAAAAAAGTGCATATGTGCTGCCAGAGTTGTAGGAACATTTGGCAATGATCTTCCACATGTAAAAATGACTAAGCACTGAAATGGGTTGTAATGTTACTTTATACTGAAATAAAAATATCTACAGTTGTTCAATAAATGATACATTTTATTCCACAATTAAATCTGGCACTGCTAATGGAATAACCTATATTATGGTTTGGTCAGCTTTTGGATAACATGGTAAAACTAACAATCGTCATCAATGGCATTGGGAAGTCAAAAGATTATTTTAAAAAAAACTTTTAGTGTGTTTACATGAAGTGAAAAAATTGGGTTTTTCAGCAAGATAATGCACCCAACCATAATTTCCACTCAACTCACACTTGGCTTAAAGAAAAAAATGTTTAAGTTAAGATGTGTCCAACAAGAAGTCTTGACATGAATCCAATTGAGAATCTGGAAGAATCAGATGAAGGAATTATTTCTTAGCAGATATATACAAATGAAAGGCAGTATTCCTGAGCATAACTGCAATCAGAAACTGAAAGATTGGATAAATAGTGTATCAGAAGAAACAGTATAGAAACTAGTTATTTGACTGGAGCATCATGTATTTAAGGTTATCAGATTGAATTAGAAATCAGTTGGCCACTGAAATTAAACTAACTAGCGAACATTAGCTTTTGTTACAGAATTCCATAATCTTTATAGATATGTTTTTAAACTTTTGAAATTCTATTGCAAATTTTATGTTTTGACATTTAAAATTGGTTTAATTTGTTGTAAAATTATATTCAACATGCATTTGTAATGACACAATAAATCAAAGTATTTGTTGTTCAGAAATTTCCTGCAAATACTTCATTCCATAAACTTTTTGATGCACCTTCTATAAATATATATTAAATGTATTTATACAAGAGATGATGAAAAATAAGAATACAAGCCATTAAATTCCAGTAGATATTTATTACAATACAAAGTGACTCACATTAAAGGCTTCTACATACCATACATACCTACCTACATACCTATATACCATACAAAGTCCTTATTTTGTCCTACACATTCTCATCTGAATGAAATTGATGTCATCTGAGATGTTTCTTCAGAGAAGCAAAGAAATAATAATCATTCAGAGGAAATTTGGGCTATATGCTGGATGTTTGAGCACATCCCACATTTTGCATCACTAATTTCTTCTGTTCCCTCTGTGAATAGTCAGCACTATTTTGCCACATTATTATGATTAATTACTGTTTCCCCATGTACAGCAACCAATTCATGATGGATTTCCATCAGTGGCACATGCTTTGCCCACAGAAAATAAACAACACATCCCTTCATGTGAATTGCTCTCCAAGTGGGGCCATCTGTATATGTCTCATCTAGTTCAATGACTGTGCACACATTTGTTACAAGATTAAAAGCCACAACGATGATCATTCACTGAATTATGGCTGCAGTAGGGAAACCATAAACAAGAATGAGAAAATAGGAGTAAACCTTGTATTCTTATTTTCTGATCATACCTCAAGCATATATGTTTTTAATTTCTACATTTGCACATACACATGCAATACTTTTATTATCTGCAAATTATAAAATTATATTCCCTAGTAAATAATACAACTGTAGCACTTGACTGTACTTGACAATAATGCACAAATTATTTTATAACATACAGTTTCAATAAAATTTATTATTAAAAACATTTTAACAATTAAATATAATAAGAAAAAGTTATAATACTTACTGATTCTACAATAGAAAGCCTGTTCTTAATAACATCTTCAGTGTATTTCCGATAAGCAGCTTCTTGAGGAATTTTCTGAAGGGCTCTCAAAATTTTGTTGTATAAAACACTCAGAGTCTTTTAAAGTAAAGTAGTACAAAACAAAGACATTAATAATAAAAATATTGTTTAAAAAAATTATTTTGTTCTTAATACTAAATGTTTTCACTATTAAAACAATAAATTTCACATCATTTTATAGCATTATTCTTAATTTCTTTACATTTTAGCATTTTAATAATTCTTTTGATCACCAAAATAAAATGATCCTGAAATTGACTTTTGTTTCATGCTTGTAAAAATGGTAAGTCAATTTCAAGATGTCAATGTTTATTTAATTTCAGAAATTTGTTTTTTAGCAGTCTAAATTTTAAAAAATTTTTAGATTAATTTTTTTCTTCCTGTTTCTTTTCAGGACTAGCAAAATTTGACTTAGCACTATCATGTGTGCTTCATAAGTGTTCTTGCCATAGTTTTAAACATACAGTGACAGAATAAAGTCCATTTATTGTAATTATGGCTGTAATTATCAGTCATTATATTTTATTAAAATTAATAAGTCTCAAAAAATTTAAGATAAAATAAACTTGCAGAACTTTTCCTATTGTAATCAGAGCTTCAATTACAGTTATCACTATTGTCAATATAAAAGACATTTTATAAGCTGTTTATTTGCTCTATCAGCCTGAACTTGCAGCTAATAATATGCAACCATTATCAATAATACCAGTGCTTTAAATGTTAAATATGTTTGTTCATAGTTTAAATTTGCTTAAGATCAAAAATGTTCGTAAATTTTTATCTTAAATTTTTATTACTGGATGTTGAAGGTTTTACTGATTGTGCTTATATACTATATATATTTTTAATTGTTTAGATATGACCTTATAATATCAGAGTCAATAAAAGTAGAATTTCCACTAACTATAGTTTTACTTATCTAGCTTATTGCTATCTGTTGGCTATTATCATCAGTACATATGATTCCCAAATAATTTAAAAGAAAAACAGACTCTGTATTCAAATCTAAGAAAATAAACAATAATGAACTTTATAGTAATTTTGCTACATATAACCTTAGCTTTTTATATTATCAATAGTAAATAACTGATCAATAATGAAATGGAAACTACTTATTGATTCATAAAAGAATATTTTGAATACTAATTTGCTATCAATTATATAGTTCTAACATTGAGATTTGTTACCAGAAGTTTGTAATTAATGTGATTTTTCATAATTTTGCTCTATAAATTTCAAAAACATTATCCATTTTTTCTCATACTCATAATCAACAAAGTAAAAAAAATCCATACATCACTTCACAAGAATAATAGAATATTTAATTTCACAGATCAGGATGTTTAATAAAAATAAAAAAATAAAAATGCATTGAAAAGCAGGATAACGTTAAAACAAAATTTACTAGCAGCTTAAGACTTCTTAATATATCTTTCATAGCTAAGATTTTGTCTACTGTAGACCTGTTCAAGCCATACTACCTAGCAACATCAGACATCTTGTGCCCATTTTCTACCTTGGCTATTATCTCTTACTTGGTTTCTACAGTGAGCATAGTTCTTGACACTCCTCTTTTTAGGCTCCATAATATTATCAGTTTCTTTTTTAAATAAAAAGTTCAGAAAAGCACTTGTAAAAATTCAGAGAACAGAAATCAACTAACCCAAAAAAAATTATTTAAATGCAAGGCCCAGATAAAATCAGAAATTTGGTATTAAAACGTTAATGAATATCCGATGGGATAGTTAAACTTTCACCTTTCGTAAATAAACCTTGACACAAAACTTAACAAGTGCCTGTCTGACAGACTCGCGAAGATTATAAAAAATTATTTGTCAGAAAGGTAAACAGAAAGCTGGAATTACAAGGGAGAGTTTCAAAATTCGGAGGAATACTATCTGATCAGTATTGGGTTAAGCATCAATGTTGACGTCCCCCACGCTCCGAAAGGTTTTGAATTGTTACCTGAAGACAAGGGAAAAATCAATTGGTATTCGTTATTATCCGTCGCTTCTATTTATGTTTGTTCAGTAAAGTGTTTGTTATCCAAACATGTGTTCGTTGTCTGATCATAAAAATCTTACATGAAAGTGTTCGTTATCTGATTTGTTTGCTATGCGAACTGTTTGTTAACTATTAAAATTAATAAATTTTAAAAATTTTTCCGTTTAAAAAATTTTTCACGATTCCCATTATCCACTGAGGACCATTTATCCACTGAAGAGGCTGAAATAGCGTAATATATATGGATAACATAATGAATAAAATAAAGTAAGAAATAGTGAAAATAATTCTCTGGTTTCTCTGTTTTTTAAACTCTATCGAAGTCGGAATTAAAGAGTGAACGTCACTTGTGGTTCTTAAAAATTTTTTAAACGGAAAAATTTTTAGAATTTATTAATTTTAATATTTGTCTACACCGATACCATTGTTTTATTATTTATTTAATGTTTGTTAACTGATCACCCACTGTATATATAAAAACAAAAATATATATAAATATATTTCAGAAGTTAGTTTTAATAAAAATTTTGCCGACTAGAGACATCTAGTATCAAAAAGTCTCAATGCAGAAACAAAATATCTCAGGTCCACAGATCAAGGTCATTATGTATCAACCCAAGATATATTGGGAATACCAGGGAATAGGGTAAGTTTGACCCTATTGGAGATACACACGATTCCCATTATCTCCCCACCCCATCTACCTTTAACCACCAAAATTTATCATCATCAATCCCCCTAGTAAACAAACCTTTCTGCAAAATTTCAGAAATTTTTGACAAAAAGCACAGGAGTTATTAAGCTTCAAAGATAACAAAATTGTGCCCCCACACACACTAACATCCATACATACAGAAATTACTTCCAAATTTTTCTTGCATTTCTGGACATGTCCTGAGTCCAAAAATGTAAATATCTTGGAGGACCATTTATTGACTGACTGCCATACTTTCCCTTTGTTAAATACAACAGCCAAGAAAGTAAAAATTATCTTCATTTTCCTTTTTCATCATTACAAACACCAGTGACAGTTCAAAACAATTTTCACTTACAGGTAGGACCTTTTATTTGAGGCTGTGTTTCCACAAAAAAATTGCAAAATGGAAAAAACATCCTCTGGCAATTATGCCATAATTCACAATACATTTGAGTAAAAATTAGAAACTTGATCAATGGTATTTACACAGTAGAAATCGTTTTGGACTGACACTGATGTTTATAATGACAGGAGAGAAAAACAAAAGCAAGTTTTGTAGCTTTGTGATATTTTATATTTTAATGTAAAGATAATTGTTCAGTCAACAGCCTAACATATATCAGCACAATAAAGCAACATTGCATTTGGCAAAAGTACAAAATTGGCTGGCTGGAAACCATATCTGTTTACTATGCTGGCCAGGAAAAAGTCTGGCTTACATATAAAAGATTTTACTTTTTGAGATTTCAGATTTTGCTGATAGCATAGTCAAAAGAGAATATTCAAGAAAGTGTGTTTCCACACAAACATTTCGTCAATGACACCAAGACAAATGCAGCTTTATTTATATCAGATAATTAAAATGATCTTATTAAATTATGAGATATTAAACAACTCAGTCAATTTGAGATTTCAATTTCTTTTAATAATATAATATAACAGTTTTATAAAAATAAAATTTATAATGATAAAATATCATGACATTTTCAGCTTTGTAACAAAAACTTTTATTCATTCATTTTTATTGCAAAATTTGATACTATCATAATAGCAAGGTGAAAAGTAGAGAAAAAAATTTCCATTATTTTGGGATATGTTAAAATGGAATTTCAATATAGTTAAAATAATTTTTAATTAAAATGATATTAAAGTAAAAAAATTTAAGTATTCAAAGAGTATATAAAAATACTTACATGATGAGGATGTTTTGCAACAGCTAAACCAGTTAAATTTGTGGTCTGAAAAATTTATTGCTTTTTAAATTATTTTATAATGAAAAATAATTTGTTTGTTAATAATTAGATCAATAAATGAAGAAAGAAAATATGCAAGAAAAACACATAATTCTGGCCTTGAATCTCATTTAAATCTATATATATATATATAAAATTATTGTTCTGACTGACTGATTGATTCATCATTGCCCAGAGCAAACTGCTGAACCTAGAGGTGAAATTTGGTACACAGTTAGGGTACATCATGAAAACACACACTAAGAAGGGATTTTTTGGAAATTCCCCCACAGGGGGAGAGGGAGGACATTAAGGCTTAACTTGAAGAACAGCTTCTACTGTACTATTTTAGATGTGATTTTTTGTTTAGTCTTCATTGAGTATTAGGTGTATTAAATTGATAACATTTCAGACATTGTTATAAATATTTTTATATATTTTGATTTTTTAACCAAATGTTCGAACTGTTTTCAATTCAAATTTGTTACTGCATGTTGGTTCGATTATAGAACGATTGTAAACGTTCCAGAAAATCAATCAAATTGAAAAAAGTTTGTTTGATTCTCAGCAATTCTCATCATTCTCAGTGGTAGGTGTTATATAAGAATTACTATGGTTGTTGAAATACTGAATATAAATGGTGTTTTCTTGCAAAATCCACGTGGGCAAAGTCACAGGTAACAGCTGGTACAGAATAAGACATTAGGGAAGACTGGATTTTTGGGTATTTTTGATAAATCCAGTTCTGTAGTTGTTTACTTGACATTAGGGAAAATTTTAATAATTATCTTGCATTACTTTATATTGAATTGATTATTAATATTCAATGTATACAGCTAAATCAAATTCAAATCTGATTAATTTGAATTATTGAGTAATTTGAATCTGTTATCATCGCTCTCAAAATCTAAAATTAAATTAGTATTAAATATTTAAATTAAAATAAATACAAAATTAATTTTTCTACTGTAGACTATATTTTGATAATTTGAAACCAATATATCTCATCAGGGGCACCCACACATTCACACATTGGGGCACATACCCCTTCTTTTCTTCTCAGTTGCCCTTTTTCTAATCCCCAAGGAAGCCCCAAACAACAGAAAATTCTTGACTTCTAGCCTATTCTGCAAATATAAAAATAAAAATAATAAATTATATTTGTCCAGTGACATATGCAACTTCGTCATATACCAAAAACCCACTCCTTGTTTTCAAAGACAAGCTAGCCCCAAATGCATCCAATGCCACCTTGTGGGAGCACTGATCCAATGTTGAATCATAAGATTTGAAGCTCCTTGTGTAATGTACAATGCCCTTTTTTATAGTAGGTGCCTCCTCTTTTATCATAGTATGTGGACACCATTGCATTTTATATTCTAAAAATGAAACATGAAAAGAAAAAACAGTATATAGTTTGTTTGTAAAATATATGCATTTTGTGGATTATCATTACAGTCAACCATTTATTGTAACAGTTAGAGATATGGTCTTAAATGAGGGACAAATAACTAGAAGAGCATAGTTCATAAATTTAAAATGAAATTCTCTGAAAACTGCAGAAGGGTATTTCCACTTCCTTGAAAACATAAAAATATCTACACTTCCTCATTATGGAGCATTAAAAATCTTGGCATATTTTATGAATTTACTTTATTGATTTCTAAAAGATGGACATGTTCATGTTCTAGAAATCAATAACCACCCAGAGAACTGTATTTAATAATATAAAAACAAAATGAATGAAGCATGGTTTTACCATCGAGAAGCATGCTGATAGTGTTATGCAGACATATATGAATTTTACAACAGGAATACTGTTGCAAAAATGCTCTTTAAAGACATACCAAAAACACAGTTTGTTTGTGGGACAAACTGTCATATTTATGGAAATGAGGGAGAAAGCCCTGAAGTACTGAATGCAGGATTGTCCATCTGGAAGTAGGATAGTTGACATATAAATGTGTATTCTGTAAAATGCCTGGGATAGAGATGATCATGTTTGTTTTTTTACACTTGAATCTAGATAGTTGGGTTGTTAACATAAATTTTTGTGATGTCTAACAAGACGTTATGAGGTGTCCATCACGAATCCAAATATTATAATATTGTGTGTGTGTGTGTGTGTGTGGATAAGTCTCAATATGAAGCTTTATTAAGCAAAAGAAGAAAATGAATTTATCAAGCATTTGAGAAAACTGATGTTAAGAAATCCTCAATGACTTATAAGCAAGTTTTACGAGTCTCATTTATTGAATTTTTTGTGGCTTGATGATATCATTTCTCTTTCATATTCACAAGGTTATGGGATTAAATCACGATTACAGAATATATGTTTTTCCCCCTCTCCAAATAAGTGTGAAATATTTACATAAATTAAATAATTAAAAATTACATGGGCTTATACATTTTGTCTATTTATCAACTAATAAAAATGTGTATTTTTCTTTATTAAATCTCTTGCCTTCAAAATATTTCTTTCAGAACTATTGTTTACTACAAATACATTTAAAAATTAAAAACAAAAACGCAAGTAAACAAAAGAATGTTAATAATCATTGGAAACAGATGTACCAGAACATGAAACAGGATAATTGTCATAAAAATATGAGAAACAAAAAAATATATGACATCTTGCAGATCAAATAAATGCTGAATTTTTAGTCCACTGCTAGTGGACTAAAAATTAGGACCGAGCCCTGTTTGGATTACCTGAATAATTAAAATAATGCAGAAACAAGCAGTAAAACAGATCTGGTTTATATAGATCCAATACCATCAATGACATCAGCACCCCACCTTGGACAAGGGTGAAAGTGCAATGAAATTGACATTAGTTTGGAGTGGGCAAGGCCACAATAACTGACTGGACAAAAATTGCCCAATAATCAAGTAGTTTTGTGCCTCTACTTCACAAAAATCAGTTGAAAATCGACAAACAGCAAGGTACTCAATGTTTGACAAGCTTGACAAAGCCTTATTCACATGGTTCATGCAGGAAAGAGAAAGGGGACGACCCCCAAGTGAACCTCTTGTTAGAGAAAATTTCCTCTCAGCCAACCGAAACATGTTCGGATTAGCAGTGTTCAGACTAGCAGGACTCTAGTGTACAAGGTTCTGTTATTATCTTGGTCATTTGCCCATATTGTACTCCTCGTAACATTAATATTCAGAAGGAGTTTCGTCTTTTTCCTTCGTCTGGCTGCTAAGAGTGGTGGCGAGTTTTCATTGTTACAAGAGATAGCAGGAGATTTTATTGTTTCACCATTTTCAATACTTGTCATCATCTGATTTTGAAAAACATTTACTTCTGCATCATTTACCTCTTTGTTTAGGGGTATCTGAAACTCGTTATTGCCTGTGGCAGTAGTTGAACTATTATATATTACCTTCATTCTCTTCACTTCCGAAACATTCTCTACCAAAATCATCCATAATGTCCGCCCAGTCTGTTTTATTTTCTAGTTTGGAAGCAAATGTGACCCCCACACATTGATCCTCGTTATGGCCATATTTATAGCATTTTTTTACATTTTGGGACAGTACACCACCTCATAAATGGCCTATAAAGGAGCACGGCCTGCTATTACCACTGATCCAGACATACCCTTAACCTTAATGAAGTACAGTAGCGCTTCTAACTTAATGTTCCTTTTTAACTCTATTCAAATCACAAGTTGATGAGACAGTTCGGGCCAAGCCACCAAGCATTCAATAAACGAAGCTCATAAAACTTGCTTACAAGTCATTGAGGATTTCTTAATGTTGAATTTCTCGAGAAAGCTTGAGAAGTGCACTTTCTCCCTTTGCTTAATTAATTAATCCCTTAATCCCATACAAGGTTCATGTCGAGACTTCACACACCTCGTAACGTCTACCTGTATAATGCCATTATAGTGCATTGATTTAGGCTGCATTGTTCGACACCACGACTTCAAATTCGAAGTCCTCGAGTCAAAGTTAACTTTACATCTTACCTTTTTTAATACTCCAGCCATATCTGAATTTACTTCGTGCCGAGATGTTAAACTTTTACGCCATCTATCGACATTCTTTTATTTTTATTTAAATTATAAATTATTTCATTCCGTAATATTATTTTCTTAATAATATCATTAATATGTAATAAATTTCATTTATTTTGTAGAATATTATAAGAAAATAGTATTTGAGATTTACAGAATTTTTCGGAAATTTATCTCAAATAGTAATTAATAATTGCTATTTCATTTTCAATGTCCAAATAACTGCCGCGGGTTTATTTATAATTCAAAATCAATAACTTTAATAATAAACCAGCAATTATTTATTGTGACATCGTCATATTGCCGGGTTGCAATTTTTCGTCACAGCGTTTCGTCACAGCGCTCTCAATTATGGTCTCGATCTTGCCCCTGTACATCATACTTTTCCTGTTAACAACAGTCGTGCCTGTCATTTTTTTTTAACTCTTTCCGCCCTGTGGGCACTAAGAGAGCCTCTTTTTGCAAGCCCATTATGGGTTCGGCCAGGCCCACAATGGGGCTGCCGGGCGGTGAGGACATATCCGAACGGACCACCCCCCGAAAAATTCCTGGGGATTTTTCGACCCGTTCGGATTCGAACCCGGGTCCCCCGGAGCGGTAGGCTGCCACCTTGACCGCTCGGCCATCCGGCCCATGCCTGTCATCTAACTACGTTTTGGAGAAAATTTTTAAACTGAAATAACATGATTTCCGGTCCAAACCGGAAGTCCACGTATAGTTAATCGGAGTCTCCTACCCCTAAACTTTCTATATCTGGTCCCGACTTTCATCTGTCTAACTCCGTTCTCTAGAATAGTCAGGCAGATGGACGTCAGTGAGAATTTATAGGTTTGCAATTTATTAAAAATTGCAGCAATTAGGATGATCAGACTTCCAGTTTTGGAGCAGATAGTTTCGCTTTTGAGCACTGTTCTCCGTCCAACGGCATCTCAGACTGGATATTAATTTAGTATAATAATAAAGTAAGTATGTATGCGCATATACTGGAATACTTTTCTGAATTTAATCACACATCCTCCTTGTGTGATCAGAAGTATTGTAATAGAGAAAGTATTGCAATATTTAGGTATTTAAACTTACTTATTATTATATTAATATAATATAGAATCATAGTACTTATTGATGGATACTACAGTAATTTGTTCTCCTTTTTGGAGGCTGCGTAAAAATAATTAGAATTTTATTTTTATAATTCTAATCTATAAAATTATTTTTGAGATTTTTAAGAAAAATTTTTGCTTTTTAACAGCAATGGAAAAGCATGGATGTGACATGAAGACAATTCACGCCTAAATCTTCAACAGCAGTTTAAAAACTTTACATATGGAGCTGAATGTATATACAGTATACTCTATGTATGCATGTATATGTTACTGTGAAAGACCGAAATTAGAGAATGTCGATATTCTCCGGTGAATGTCGACACATACAAAATACGTCAGTGAAAGACTGAATATTTGGTTAAGGTATTATACATTCGAACAATCGCCGGTGTATGTCGACAAGAACAGACAAGCCTTGGTAGAGGTCGAAACGACACCCGAGAGCGATGTTGACAGAAAGGCGACAGTTTGTCGCCAAATTCTTCGCCGTCTCCTTCTGTTCAAATTGGTGATACCGTACGAATACAAGCAGTGCTGATATTCAGCGGGTTCGCACAGGTTCGGCCGAACCCGTTGTTAACATTTTCAAAGTTTTCCGAACCCATTGTTAAACACACATAACATTTCTCAGTGGTTTTGTTTCTTTTAAAAAATATATTAAAATATACGTATTATACTCTGTAACACTACTAAACTAAAGCCTTATACCTTGTTCGCCTTGGTGCAACCTCCATTGACCATTTTAATCTCGACTGAAACGAGGTTCAATCGCGATCGACTCAAGAAAGTTCTTGAAACTAAGTCCAGTCATACGAGAGATCCCGCAATCCCGTAACTTACTTTCGTTGTAATATAGACGAAAAACGCTCATTTTGTTTTGTCTTCTTCTTTGTCATGGTTGATATAAAGTATTCTCATCGGAGAAATAAATCCTGTATGGCTTCATTTCTCCGATAGAGCAGTGATGATAGTATCTAATGAGCCGCCGAAGCTTATTGCTTGGCCATACGCGGGGAATAATGTCTTCCGGGAAGTCTTTTAAAGGTAACTGATTCCAATTTTGACGTTAAAGACGTGGAGAAAACCGGTAAACTCCACCTGGCTAGTCCGTCCTGGCGAGGCTCGAACCCAAGTGTTCAGGAAACTGAACCGCTTGGGCCATTTTGTTTAGTAGATTTAATTCATTAAATACTCTGCAGAAATAATAAACTACTATTGTTCGATTATAAAGTTCTGTTTAGTTTTAGTAATATTAATTTTACAAATTTCGAGAAACTGGCGATGTACAATCTAAGCTGTAGATAATTTCCAATTTTAGTAAGAACATTTTTAATTCCAGATATATATTTATATATCTGGAATTAAAAATATTATATATATAAATGTCATATATATATTAAATATCATATATATTTTTATTAAAATGTAAGACTCGCACGAGAAAACCTTCCCTTGTTCGTTCCACGTGCAAAACAACGTGTTTCAAGATGACAAAAACGAAGATTTCTCTGTAAAATAATTAACTCTTTGTGGTTACCGTTAAGACAATGGCAAGAAATATGCTTAGAAAAAGTGAATGTTTATGAATTTATGTAAATTTAAAACAGGATACGTAAAAAGTTGCAATGGAGAATGTTGTTGCTAGAACGAATTTACAAATTGTCTGCAATAATTTAATTCATTAATTATACATTAATATAATTGTGAAAAATTTGATTTATATATTGCAAAAAATTTCTGTGAAAATATCAATATACCGATTGACGAAACAATAAACAATCGACAATACAAATAATAAGAATGTAATATAACAATCGGGCGTCTTATTTAATTGTTTGACTTCATTTAATGCGGAGAGACGAAATACGCGTCTCTCCGGACTAAATGGGGNGCAAGGCCCAGATAAAATCAGAAATTTGGTATTAAAACGTTAATGAATATCCGATGGGATAGTTAAACTTTCACCTTTCGTAAATAAACCTTGACACAAAACTTAACAAGTGCCTGTCTGACAGACTCGCGAAGATTATAAAAAATTATTTGTCAGAAAGGTAAACAGAAAGCTGGAATTACAAGGGAGAGTTTCAAAATTCGGAGGAATACTATCTGATCAGTATTGGGTTAAGCATCAATGTTGACGTCCCCCACGCTCCGAAAGGTTTTGAATTGTTACCTGAAGACAAGGGAAAAATCAATTGGTATTCGTTATTATCCGTCGCTTCTATTTATGTTTGTTCAGTAAAGTGTTTGTTATCCAAACATGTGTTCGTTGTCTGATCATAAAAATCTTACATGAAAGTGTTCGTTATCTGATTTGTTTGCTATGCGAACTGTTTGTTAACTATTAAAATTAATAAATTTTAAAAATTTTTCCGTTTAAAAAATTTTTCACGATTCCCATTATCCACTGAGGACCATTTATCCACTGAAGAGGCTGAAATAGCGTAATATATATGGATAACATAATGAATAAAATAAAGTAAGAAATAGTGAAAATAATTCTCTGGTTTCTCTGTTTTTTAAACTCTATCGAAGTCGGAATTAAAGAGTGAACGTCACTTGTGGTTCTTAGAAATTTTTTTAAACGAAAAAATTTTTAGAATTTATTAATTTTAATATACTTATGCNAAGTCGGAATTAAAGAGTGAACGTCACTTGTGGTTCTTAAAAATTTTTTAAACGGAAAAATTTTTAGAATTTATTAATTTTAATATTTGTCTACACCGATACCATTGTTTTATTATTTATTTAATGTTTGTTAACTGATCACCCACTGTATATATAAAAACAAAAATATATATAAATATATTTCAGAAGTTAGTTTTAATAAAAATTTTGCCGACTAGCGACATCTAGTATCAAAAAGTCTCAATGCAGAAACAAAATATCTCAGGTCCACAGATCAAGGTCATTATGTATCAACCCAAGATATATTGGGAATACCAGGGAATAGGGTAAGTTTGACCCTATTGGAGATACACACGATTCCCATTATCTCCCCACCCCATCTACCTTTAACCACCAAAATTTATCATCATCAATCCCCCTAGTAAACAAACCTTTCTGCAAAATTTCAGAAATTTTTGACAAAAAGCACAGGAGTTATTAAGCTTCAAAGATAACAAAATTGTGCCCCCACACACGCTAACATCCATACATACAGAAATTACTTCCAAATTTTTCTTGCATTTCTGGACATGTCCTGAGTCCAAAAATGTAAATATCTTGGAGGACCATTTATTGACTGACTGCCATACTTTCCCTTTGTTAAATACAACAGCCAAGAAAGTAAAAATTATCTTCATTTTCCTTTTTCATCATTACAAACACCAGTGACAGTTCAAAACAATTTTCACTTACAGGTAGGACCTTTTATTTGAGGCTGTGCTTCCACAAAAAAATTGCAAAATGGAAAAAACATCCTCTGGCAATTATGCCATAATTCACAATACATTTGAGTAAAAATTAGAAACTTGATCAATGGTATTTACACAGTAGAAATCGTTTTGGACTGACACTGATGTTTATAATGACAGGAGAGAAAAACAAAAGCAAGTTTTGTAGCTTTGTGATATTTTATATTTTAATGTAAAGATAATTGTTCAGTCAACAGCCTAACATATATCAGCACAATAAAGCAACATTGCATTTGGCAAAAGTACAAAATTGGCTGGCTGGAAACCATATCTGTTTACTATGCTGGCCAGGAAAAAGTCTGGCTTACATATAAAAGATTTTACTTTTTGAGATTTCAGATTTTGCTGATAGCATAGTCAAAAGAGAATATTCAAGAAAGTGTGTTTCCACACAAACATTTCGTCAATGACACCAAGACAAATGCAGCTTTATTTATATCAGATAATTAAAATGATCTTATTAAATTATGAGACAGTGACAGAATAAAGTCCATTTATTGTAAT